TAGTACGGACGGACGTACGTAACTACGTAGGTACGTAAAAACTAAGTCTTACTTTCGTCCACTAGTACGTAGTCGTAGTGTCTTCTCTATATATATATATATATATATATATAGTGCTAGACCCGGCTGGATCCAACTTGGGTTTAGGTCCACTTGACCTAGACAAGACAGGGTCCGAGTTTAAGTCAAGCTTAGATTCTATTAGGTCGAGTCCAGTGCAAGGCCAGCCCGAACCGAATAATTAGAAAAAAATACATATAAACAATACTAATTATGTAGTATAAAATATATAAAATAATTTTTTTTATACCTTTTATTTGTAGACCCAGACCCGACTGGGTCTTGAGTATGGGTCCGAGTCTAACTTAGAGGACCGAACCTGATTCAACCCATTCCAACCGTTACATTCATTGCGTTGTTAACTAGCCCCTAATGTGGTACAAGCCTACTTATCAAGAATTTGGGTTTGATGGGTTCCGAATTGTGCACAAAAAATAGATCTCATATAAGCAATCTGAATAAATAATAATCATAATAATAGTAATTTTAAATTAAAATTTTAGGGTAAGATGAGATCTCCATTTTGGACTATCAATTTTATCTCTCCTCCTTACAACTTGGACATCTAATGTATGTTATAAGTCAATCTACTTATGCAATTATCTTTCTACATATATGCACATACAACTATAATGCATAACTCACTTAAGAGAATGGATAGCATTGATAACTTTCTCCCTTGCTCTACAGTGTTTTAAAAAACAGGTCGGTGACTCGAATTGTTTATCTAAAAAATTTGGTTAGATTGGCATATTGGCAGTCCGGGTTAGAGGATCGGTTGGATCCAGCCTTAAAATATATATAATAAAAAAACATTAAAAATACCTAAAAAATTGTTTTCTGAGTTTTCAAAAAATAATAACGATAGTATATTATATACTTTCATTATTTTGCAAAAATATGTTAAAATTGAAATGCCGTTTCGTGTCTATTATTATTAATTTTGATATTGATTTTGCCATAGTACTTTCACATAAAAAATTATACTAATTTTATGATTTTTGGTGAAGAAACGATAATTATAAAAAATGGGGAAATACGATAAACCTTGCAAACAAAATTCCCCAACAATTTTTCATATTATAACATTAAAAAAAAAAAAAAGTTTCAAAATGATAGTTTTCCTAAAAATAAAAATCAAGCCATAAAAAATGAAAAAAAAAAAATCTAATTACAAACAATAATCCTTCTTAATAGCATATGCATCAAAACCCTTAAAAAATTAAATAATTTATTAATTATTTTTTTTATAAAATAGCACGTATCAGGAAACCCTAAAGCCCTGATATTGAGCTAGATCTACATAATAACCATATGAGATAAAACAAGTTGGAGAAATATATAAGTAGACAAATTCAGTATGATTCATTTGAACCAAATTTCATCAAATCTGATGAAAAAGAAAAACCATGTTTAAGCATACTTCATAGACCCTAAATATATAGAATTTTTTAACAAAGAACTCAAGAAAAATAAATAAATTTATAATTTTTGTAACTATATATCAGAAAAATAAATACATCAAAACAAACATAACAAATAACCTCCTATATAGAAATTATGAAGGGTATAATTTACTTTATAATTTTAATTTATAATCCAAATATTACAAATAACTATCTTTTTTCTTCCAAATACTTCACTGAAATATAATATTTATTTTATTTAAAAGCTTATGAACAATTACAGTTTTCTTCATAACAAAATGATTATTTTCCAATAATATAAAACAAAAGGTGCGGTTTCTCTAAGGTTGCAACTTTAAACAATCCAATTAAGGCGCACCTTCAAATTTTATCATAACATGTAATCTTGTTGTAAAAAATTATTAGGATTGTCTTAAAATCTATTTTTATATCTAATTAAAAAATTTAAACTCCAAAAATAGTTAAAATCGCGGAGATCTATAAACATGTGAAAATCTTGAAATTGGACGGCCTAGGTAATGTGTTGCAAGATGCACTCTTTATGGGACTCAAAAACTTTATATATATATATATATATATATATATTCATATATCTCGATGTCGAGATGATCAAGTAGAGGATTTTTCAACATTAAAACAACATTTCCAATAGATTTTTGAGGTGCATAAGTAATTCTACATTTTAAGGTTGCAACCTTATTATATAAACTTTTAAAAATAGAATATACAACTAAAAGTTTCCCTTGAAATCACACAATAAAATCAAAAGATCTCTTGTTTTTGCACAAACAGAATCTTAATAATATTCCATCATAAATTGATCAAACAAAAAAAAATCAAATTAACTATAGTAATAATTCCCCTCATGAAACTGTGCAAAAACCCTAAACATTATTGGCAAACAAAATATTTTTCAAAATATCAAGCCAAAAAATCCTAATTTTTGGGGCTAGATATACGCAAAACTAGGATTTAATCCAAAAAATTGAACCAAAAATATAATTTTTTAATGAATAATGAATCAAATGACCAATTTTCACGAAAATCTAAGATTTAATCTTCAATTGGCGGCCTATGACCAAATGCCCAAACCATTAATTCAACTAAAAATTGAAACATAAAAAACCAACTAAAATTGAAAAAATATACATGTTTCAGATCCAATTACCTACTCCTTAGAAAAATCCAAAATTGATCGAAAATCAAAGGAAAACAAATGATTTTGAATGTAGAACTCGAATGCCAAAAATACCTTAAAATTTTCAGGCTTGATTTTCATCCGAAATGTTTTTTTTTTCTTCAAACTGATCAAGAGCTTAGAGAATCAAGGATCATCGTTTTAAACCAAACTTCAATAGTTTTGGTTCAAAATCCAATAAGAACATTCTTATTTGGGGGATTTCGCATAGAACACACACATACAAAAATTTGAAATAAAGTATGAAATAAAATTAAAAATTACCTTTTTCAGATCTAATCAATTCCTCTTTAAATCAAAATCCCTCAAGAAATTCATCGAAAATCTAAGGCAAATACATGTTTTCGATCAAAGAACTCTCGGATGCCAAAAACCCTAAGGTGGCATTTGATAACTTTTTTGGATTCTGGGAGGCAGGTGAAAATTGGTAGCATGAAAAGTTGTAACTTGTTTGATAAATTGGGGTATTGGTAATTTCACTTGTGTAGCGGTAAATGGTTGTTCATTATGTATTTCATTGATATGATGTGCGAAAATCACTTGTATGACATTGGGAAAGCAGTAAATAACTATTCATTAATTATGTGTTTCATTGATATGATACTCAAAGGACAGTTTTTGAACAACATTTTGTAAATAAATAAAGTTCCTTCCATCCATCCAATATAATACCCAAAAATAAATATGGTTCCTTCTATCCATCCAATATAATACCCAAATATGTAACAAGATTCAGGGACTATTATTATATAGAATGTTATCAAGCCATAAAACACACTAGAAGTTCAGTACACTAGTAAAAAAAAATGGTGTGCCAAAGCTCATGGAGGTGTATTTTGCAGAGTAGGTAAAAAAAAATGGTGTGCCAAAGCTCATGGAGGTGTATTTTGCAGAGTAGGAGAACGTACTCTCTCTTTTTTGAGAAAAGACGATATTCATTAAGATGATAAAAGAATTACAATACAAAGGCAAAAGAAAATAAAGGAAACAACAAACTAAAACCAAACAGGAAGGGAAAGCACGAAGTGCTCAAAGCAACATTCGACCCATAATTAAATAGTAGCCAGTTTAGCCAACAAATCAGCATCAGAGTCAGTGCTTCTGTAAACATGGACGAAGACGCATTCCTTGTCTTCAATCCTGAGAAGGATTTCATCCATAATGACACTCAATCTCCAGGGTACTTGGGACGGTTGGAAGCACCATAAGACCGCATTAGCTGAGTCACCTTCAATGATAATCTTCCTTTGGGACTGAGCAAGACATGAAACTCCCATTTTAACTGCCCAAAGCTCAACTTCGTTGATCTCACAGACGTGAAAAGTACTAGAATAAGACCAAATGAC